TGCAATGCTGTCAGAAAAAAAGAATTGCACTCAGTGTTATTGCACAGAAAAAGAGAATGAGGATATTGGTCATAAATGTGGCACTATGACACAAAGTTAAAGCAAGAGGGTTCTCGGTTTGAATCCACCAGCTAGCTGGTACCTTTCTCTTCAGTTTCCATACTCAATGGCAGGGGTGTCCAAGTCCAGGCCTCAAGGGCTGGTGTCCTGCAGGTTTTAGATCACTATTTCATTCCCAGGCCTCTGGAGAACTTCAAGACATGTTGAGGAGGTAATTTAGCCATTTAAATAAGCTGGGTTGGATCAAGGACACATCTAAAACCTGCAGGACACCAGCCCTTGACACCTGTAGTTGCTCTATGGGTTCTCTGGCCTTTTCCCAGTTCAGTGATAATTACGTTAGATTAACTGGTGGTTCTCAATTGGCTTTAGGTGTAAATGAATGATTGTCTGTCCTTCTGTGTTAGCCCTGCAACAAACTGGTGACCTGTCCAGGCTTTGGCCCGTCTCTCATCTAATGACAGCTGGGGTATAGATGGATATTCATTTTACACTTTTAGCAGTGGATTTCTACAGATCACAAGCTTAAGGAAAAACCTAATCATAGAGACAAAAAGAAGAGTTATGACCTTAGTGATGATGAGTGTGTTATGCTGTTTTCCAGATCTTCTTTATTATGGACTTTTTTGAGGTGAGCGGGGGTATGAGTTTTTTGCGAAACTAATACATACAATATGTCTAAGCTGGACTTTAAGCATTACATCCTAAGTGCAGCAAGCAGAGATGAAATTATTTGCATGTGTCATGTCTCCATTAAGAAAAAAGAAGTTCTGGAGTGACAAAACACATTCATGCAGTATTGTACTTCCATTCCCCGGGTGACAAGTAAACTTAGTTATATGAATCGACGCTATACGACTAACAGAAATATTTTGGGGTTTGTGCAGTTTTGTGATTGATAGAAATGTTTGTGACAGTATCCACTTGTCTTGATGCTTTTCTTCCATTTTTCATCTACTTCTTTCCCTTCACCTCCCTCAGCTGACAGCAGTGGTTTTGTTGATGTGATGTTCTGTCATGCTACAGAGACCCAGAATCCCATGCTTGTCTCCTCATAACAGATTGATGTGAATTCTTTGAGCACAGTATTGAAACAAAGTAAGGCACTGAGTGATCTGGGACTTTTTAAGCCTCAGGTAGTTCCGTCAGATTTTGCCCAGCAACTCTTGCTTTGTGAGTTTTGCATTGTCAAACACTGGAAACAACCAGGGCTGTCTCAACCGCACAACTCCGGACCTAGTGACGTCTGTCTTTATCTTATATATCCATGTGATGTACTATAAACCTTGAAAATCCGTTTTCATGCAGAATGTCACCGGTAAAAACTTGTGAACAGCTGCATAATTGTCATGTCAAAAACATTGCATACTTAGGCCATAGCTGTTCTTCCTGCATAGCCTAAAGCCATTATTTAAGAGATACATTCATTCAAATCAATAACTTCTGTTTTCGGCTTTGAAACCATAATTTTCTAATATATTTCAATCAAAGGGTTGATGTTTGAAATGTGTAAAACCGTAGATTGTTGATAAAATTTGCATCTAGGACTCATAACTTTGAGCAAATGTATTACATATCCAAACTGACAGAATGAGCAAACATCCCTCCGGGGCTAGAGGTAGATACTGAGGTGGTAGATGGGTTCAAACATCAGGCAGATGAACTGAATATTTTGCAGCTTAATATACAACAAAATCAAACCAGAAATGTTTGGTAGAAGGCACGAGGAATATAATGCAGTGCAACTTGAGTTGTCTGTCTGAACTAGCCTGCAGGCTTTGTTTTATTTAGATAGATTTCATGTGATTTCTTTGCATGACTTTCAGAGCAAACCCTATCTCACGAAAGTCAGATTATTGATTTTGAAAGTGAGAATTAGTTAGCATTAGCACGATGAAGACTTCATCTCTTCAGTTTTGACCTTTAGTCTCTACTACATTAACAAGGATTAAGTGCAGTGGCGGTCCTAACCTGTTTGGCGCCCTGGGCGCCCAACTCCCAGCAAATGGGCGATAGAAAACCGATCGGTGCCTATGCCATTCCCAATATGCGCTGGCATGATGTCGGGGCAGCAGGAGTACAAGCATTTTATTTATTTATTTTTTTTGGCCGATGCCCGTGATGCCGCCCCGGGCAACCGCCCGTGTCGCCCGTATCAGAAACCGCTACTGATTAAGTGGTGTATTTTCTTCAACATATTTTCATAGGAACAGCCATGTTTTTAATCTACTGTGAAGTTCTTAGCTCTTCACAGCGTGGTTTTTCACTGTATATGACCTGTTCCTAGTTTGTTTTGCTTTTTTGTCTGTTTTCTTTGTTGTTTCCTACCTTGTAAAACACATTGTTATCCTTCACTGCTGATCCCTGCCTCTTATCTAGCAGTTTAGGTGTTCTAGTAACTTTGCACTGAACCATAATTAACTGAAGTTTATAACTGAGAGTTCTGCACTTATGCTTCAGAGTATAGAGATGGTTAATTAGCTAGCCACTGCACAACCATTTAAAAATTTAATAATACATCTCTGGAAACTTTAAAATTCTTTTTTTCTGTTGGGTTGCTTTTTTATTAGCTGCAAGCTACAAGTTCAAAAAACTTTGAGGTTTAAAACCTTCAGCCTTCTGCTTGGAGAAAATATCTTATTATCCAGTGTTAGTCAGCTGGCTTTACCTGCCTTTACTTCTCCAAGCAGTAAAGGCAGGAGAGAGACCAATATTTGTAGTTTACAGAAACAGTTGTGAGTGTGCTCTCTTTTTTTCTTCTTCTTTCGTGCTGCCAGATACACCCCCCCCCCCCCCCCTTCCGCCAGTTTGCCATTACCTTATTTTATGGGGGAAAGTGCACATTTAATTCTGAGTGTTAAATTTTTCCCTTGTTTTACAAATTCTTAGCGTTCCTGCACACGTGTCTCAGTGTATCCCAGTGCAGCCACTGGCTTTGCTTGAAATGCTCCACTAATTGAATAATATTTAGCTTCTAATGATTTTTGATATTCAACCTAATAAGTCATGTACACAGTGTTGCAAAAGCTTTAAATATGTATATGTTTCCCATTTATTTGTCTTCATCAGAAGCCTGCTTCCACCCTCTCATTGAGTCACCAAAGCCCGTGGTGTCTTTCATGTACCATCCCATATGCTTCTTTGCATATGCTGAGTCCCTTTTTCACATCTAGCTGTCTGACTCTTTTGAACAATTCCCTTTAATTGCTCATTACTTTGGCAGTAGCATTCTCACTGGTCTCCACCTTCTTCCTATCGTTCTTGCCCTTCTTGTGCTCACACTTTTGTCTTTTTTTTTGTCTCATTGGTATTGCTTGCCCACTCGTTGTCTCAGCTTTAGTCCTGGTTTCCTTGCCTGTTATAATTGTCTCTTTAGCAGCCGTTTTTTTTGCCTCTGTTGCTGTGCTCCTTTGCTCTCTCATTTCATGCTGTGAAGCCATATCAATCTCCCTTGTTTGCATGTTTTCTCAAACATCAGTATGCACAACAGTTTTACAAGCTTTGCTCTTTACAGTGCTCTTCCCATCAATGGCTTTTAGCCCCTTTTTTGCCTCCTACTAGATTTTTATTTTTGGACTTACTCTACACTTTTCTCCCTGTGCCATCAGTCAATTTGAATTTCTGTATTATCTAAGGTCCCTGTTTACTTTCCACACACTCCATCTTATTGAGGTTTATTTATTTATTTCTAACTGAAAAGCCATACCGATCTTCCAGCTAGCTTACTTGAAAGCTTATGTTGCCTTTCTTACACTTTGCCCTTATGGGTTACTTATTAATTCTCCCACCAGCCATTAATGGCCTTAAGTTTGCCTCAGTCTCATTCACTGTATTTCACTTTGTTTCCTCTTAGTCTCCTTTGCCTCAGTCCTGGCTTTGCTGCTATAACTGTCTCTCTTATGGCAAGAACTTGCCGAGAGTCTTCATAAGTAATAGGCCCAAGTCAGATTTGTGGAGCCCCGTAGAGACGGTTTCTGGGGTCTCTGTAACTCAACTGAACCTGAAATAAACTGCCAAGATCTCTTCTCATGGCATTTTGCCCATCTACTCCCCAATGCCCACGTACTCCTACTTGAATACATTTTTATCTCTGTTCCCTCCCTCTTTCCTTTTCACATTTTATCGACCTCTTCCACCTCTTAACCTGTCATCCTCCTCTCCCTGCAACTCTGTCATGTTGCTCTTCATTACATCTACCTGTCTACCATTTCTCTCATTGCCCTCTCCCCTTCCTTTCCAGTCTGTAACCTAAAGTTTTTACTTTAATTAATCGCTTCTTGATAGTTCTGTTTATTTACTCTCGAATATTACTTTCCTTGGTCACAGAGTTTCTCAATTTTCTGTATCCTGTATGTAGATTTTTTTTAAATGTAGATTTTCTGCGTGTCATCGTGAGTTTTTCCCTTAGACTTCATTTCCTTTTTTCTCTTTCAGTACCCCTCTATCTGTGCTCCCTTGTAGTGCTATCAGTAGGGTGCAGCTACTCAAATCTTACACTTATTCTTTACATAGGAGCTGCTTTCAAAACTCCAGAGAAAAGAGGGAATTGGGGGTGGACTGAGATAAAGAGTAAAAGCGCAAAGGAACAATCTCACAAATGTGATATTAAATCCAGAGTGGATCTACTCTGTAAAGTGACCTGGCTTTGTAAACACCAGCAGCTACTGAATGATTATCCTCAACTTTAATTTACTAGCTGAGATATTTATTATGGATTGCTCTTACTTTTTCTTTTTAAGCTAACATGTAAGCCATATCAGGCAAATAGAAGCTTATTTAAGTTTCACATTTTCTGGAGAATCAGCACGTGAGTAAGACAAGGAAATAAAAAAAATAACTTATTTATGACTTACCATTTGTTAGCGCTTGCATTTTTGCTCGATTCTTATTCCCAGTTGAAATTGTAAACAATACAATGGTGTTTTTCCCTTTTGCTGCAGGTCTGGTGGTGAGAGAAGCCAGCATAGAAATAACACGGCAGCAAGTGGAGGAGCTGTTTGGGCCTGAAGATTACTGGTGTCAGTGCGTGGCCTGGAGCTCTGCTGGAACCACCAAAAGCCGCAAGGCACATGTCCGGATTGCATGTGAGTTAGCTACTCTAAGCATCCATACAAGATATAAAAGTTGGAAAATACTGCTTATGGGAGTGGATTGGATTGTCCACAATTTATATTTAAAGTTTTCTGTCTGATAAACAAAACAAAACATTTTCTCTTATCTCAGTAAAAATGTGTATGTTTGCAATCTTGTGCACACAGATACACTAAACAGTTATCATGGGTTGATTCAGTCTCATGAAAGCCTTTTGTAAAACACAGTAGCCTAAAACTGAAAGCAAACAGGGAAAACTGATTACCTTATTCAATGCAAATAGAGGCATCACAGCTGACTTAACCCCCTGGTGTGTGTAGTTTATTATTACTCTGTAGTAATATGAACACAAGTGCAGGGATGTTATACCGCCTATTTTTCTTTTACAAATAAAAACGCAAAAAAAAAACATCCAAGTAGTCTAGAATTTTTCTTTATCATCTCATCACTTGCACCAGTGATTTTATGCTGCACATACCTGCTGTGGATTTCCACAGAACAGCAGGACACGATAAAGTGAGTTTGTTACCTTGCTTTGAAGTTTAGGTGTGCAGTCGGCTGTATTACTTTATGCAATATTTGTAACGGATGAACAGAATCGTCTTGTTTCATGCATGTGATTTTACTAAAAGCACATTACAGTTGGTTACATTTTAAGCAGGAAAAACTGGAGAGTCAGATTTTTTTTTTTTTAAACCGAATTAACTAAAAAAAAACCTTTGAAGAAAATGTACCCACCGTATATAATGCAGTGTAACTTTTCTAAGCAGAGAGTTAGCTCTATAACTTTGGTCGACCATCAGTAGCTTCCTGTTATGGTCTGGTGAAGAATTTAATAAGACAACTGGGAGTCTGACTATAAGGTCACCAAAAGAACACAGCACAGATTAGACCCGGCCAGACTTCATATCAGTCTAACAGACAGTACTACTATGTAATACTGCATACACAGTTAACACATGGGGAAATCATTTCAGGAGTCCCCCAGCAACAGCTCAGGGAAAGGAAAAAAGCTAAATCCTGTCACGAGTGATGGTCATTTGACAGCTGTACAACATCTGAGGAGCAAGGGAATTGAGATGTTTGATAAAAAAAAATTATCTAAAAGAAGTCGTTTGGTCTTTCAACATAATCCTCATATAAAACAATGGATTGTTCCTTGAGAGCTTCTTTCACTGAGATTTGAAGCCACAACAGTAGTTTTCCAAGCGTCATTGCTCTGGTCAATTCAGCCATATAAGACAACTGGGACTTGTCTGAGTGCTCAGGTTATAGAAAGGTCAAGCAGAAAAGAAATACCAATAACAAAATCGACCCCACCTCTCCAGTTTACCAGGCTTATACTGACAGTTATGCTCTGCTTCAGTGCTCTCTCAAAAGGACAACTGGGGAATTTGACAGAGTCCATTCAGCATGCACACTGGATAAACTGCACACATCCCCATATGTAGGACTTTAACAGACAGTATCACTCTAGCAGACATGCACCCTGAAAGTCTTATTCTCCCAGGTTGGTCTTATTCTTTCTGCAGAAGGAAATCCATCATGCAGACCCTTGTGTTTTATTGCCACTTTTATTTGGCCTTAACTATGTATCACATTTTCACTTTTGCAGAACTTGATACCTGTGTTTATGTATTCACTCTCCAGTTATCTTGGAAGTATTCAGTATATTAATTTGGCAACAAAGGTCCATGAGTTTTTTTCACAGTGAACTTTAATTTGTATTTTTGCCTCTACGCCACCTCTAATCAAATAAAAAAAAAAACATATCATAGCATTAACTTTTAACTTAATAACGGCCATTATTATGCTGTGTTACCAATTTTTAGAAGCTCAAAAGTAATGTTAGGCCTGTTCTCTCATTTTCTGACACAGATAAAAGATCTCGAGTTAAATCTAAGTGTGGAATTTGAATTTGGTAGCTGTTTACTGGAACTGTCAATGTGAGGTCCAGTGAGATGTTGATGCAAAAGAAAGAAGGAATGTACTGGCCGGCTCAGCAAGAGCCGAAATCTGGAAAACCAAGGAACGCAGCTACATCTGATGATCATAGGAATTATTAACCAGATTATTTGGACAGATGAAACCAAAATTAACTTGTACCAGAATGATGGGATGAGAAAAGTATGGAAAAGGAAAGAAACGGCTCATGGTCTGTTGCATACCACATCATCTGTCAAACATAGAAGAGGCAAGGCTATGGCATGGGCATGTATGGCTGCCAACGGAACTGGGTCACACGTGTTTATTGATGATGTGACTGCTGATAGAAGCAGCAGGATGAATTCTGGAGGGTACACAGCTATACTCTCAGCTCATATTCAGCCAAATGCTGCAGAACTGATCAGACAGCGCTTCAACTGTGCAAATGGATAATGACCCAAATCAAACTGCAAAAGCAACCCAAGAGTTTCTCAAGGGGAGAAAAATGGAATACGCTCTTCAATGACCAAGTCAGTCACTTGATCTCAACCCAAAAGAGAATTGCTTTTCAGTTACTGAAGATGGAAGTGAAGACTGAGAGATCCACACCACAGGTGGAGCTACAGCTGAAGGTGGCTGCAGTAAAGGCCTGGCAGAGAAAGCACAGTGTTTGATGTCCATGTGTTCTAGACTTCAGGCACTCATTGACTGCAAACCATTCGAGTCCCAGTATTGAAAACTGTCCTTATATTTAAAATTATTACTTTGCCCAAATAGGTTTGAGCTTCTAAAAAGCTGAAAGTCTGCACTTCAGTCACATCTTGATTGTTTGATTTGAAATCCAGTTCAGTGGTGTACAGAGACCAAAGTATAAATCCTGTAATTTTCTGAAAACCTATGGACCTAATTCTATTAATAACCGAATAATACATCGACATAAATCCATTTTGTTGTGTAGATCACATTTAAATCCAACCTTATATTTAATTATTCAATATGCTAAACAGAATTTGAAGAACTATTTTCTGTACTGAAACTCTGACCAGTATACTGTATGAATGGAGTGAGTACAAACATCTGCAGCATCATTTAAATGTCAAACCATTTAAAATTCTATCACCTTTCAAAACTTTTCTTTGATGAGCCATGCAAAATAAATGACTGAAAAATATATTTCAAAGTAAACTAATTGACCCAAACCTGAAACTCTGTTCAGCAGAGGTAGATACACCTGTGATTACTGACATTCAAGTTTCAATCGGGTGATCATTTGAATAAAATCGAGTACACCTGTGATTTACAATTAGCTTAATTGCATTAAAAATTACTTTCAGAAACCGTGCTTCAACAGCGTAGCAGTGAAAACCAGCCAGGTGAGTGCTTCAGACTTGGCACAGTAGATTATCAGTGGAAATGAGAATTTCTGTAAGAGCTCAAAGAGAATGAAGGGCATGCTCTCATATAAACATCAGCATCTATGCACAGCTTGGAATTAATGAGAAAATTCTGTCTTCAAGAAAGTCCAAGGGGAAAAAAATCATATATAAAACTAACACTTGCATAAGAACATGGGGGAAAAAAGGCTGGTGATTAGTGGGAGCACATCCTTCGGGATAAGACTAAGATAAATTGTTCAGGTCAGAAGGGGTCCAACATGACGGGAATGAATCTGGCCTGGTATAACACAGTGAACGCATACTCTAACTAAAATTTATAATACTAGCTGACAAGACAGCTCCCACTCTCCAAAAGCTCAGGTGAACTGGAATATCCCAGTGTGATAATAATGCAAAAGCCCATTCATTTTCTTAACCACTTATTCGAGGTTGTAGAGGGCTGACACGCTACCAAAAAGAGCTTCTGAAAAGGAATAAAAAATGAAAACTATGACCAGGCAAGGTAGGGTCCTTAACCTGAATCTAATGTAACACCTTTGGGGTATTTCAAAGATAAAGGTGGACCAATATAACCCCTCCAGCAAAGAGAAGCTTAAAAAGAATATTTACAATGTCAGAACTCCTCTCCAGAAATCTGTGCAAAAGGGGCATGAAGTCTACGCTGAGAAGGATTCTAGTTTTTAAGTAAATACTTTAATGGTTTTTTTTTTTCTAGAACTCTTAAGGTTGTGTTTTTGAATTTTACATAAGAGCAAATACTCTGCAGTTCAACAGTGTATAATCACACAGTATTGTGGCAGCAGTACATTCCTTCGTTAATTTGGCTTGTCAGTTGTAAAGACCGTTTTAATTCATAACAGCATCACTACTCTCTGCAATGTTTCATCAGATGAGGATTTTTTTTCTCTCAGCAGAGAGTTAGTGACACAGTCAGAAATATCCTTCTAAGCTCTGCTAATAACATTCTCGAATGGAGTGGGCCCTCCTTGGGGTGCAGTGAAATCTGGGTAATGTGCCGTTTTTGGCTCATGTTTGGGCTGATACATACTAAGAGACAGATGAATACAAGTTTATGTTTACAGGCTTCTGAGACTCGCAGAGGAAAACACATAACTGCAGACACTGCTGTATTGCTGAGTGACTTAGCTTATCAACAAGGTACTTGGCATCGATTTTACATGCGTAAATGTGCCTATGTACGCAAGAATGAGAATGCATCACAACCCATTTACAGTATTGTTTATCATGCAGTAGCATCATTTAGCATGCACTGTGACATTATCACATCTCTTGATTTGAGATGTGAACTTGAACTTCTTTTGGGTTCAGATTCATTAATTAATTATTAATGCTGCAAAAAAGTGGCACAAAGTAGTTTCTGAAATTACATTATATCACATCATAGTTAAAATAAATAAATAAAACAACAGAAAAGTTACCAATATTTGCTATATTTAACATACAATGTTTTATATTGTCTAACCAGTCCTTTCGTGGCTGTCAGCGATCTGTGCTAAATCATAAATCTTCACGCTAATTTAGCAAAAGCAAACTAGCTCTTTCCAGATCTTTTCTTTCGACATTTTGTCAGCCAACTTTTTCAAAGTAGGTAAAACTTTATAACTGCTCGACTGTGAGACTTGCTGGAGGTTAGGTGGCGGGATGGTGAG